AGGGGGGTCCGATACTTTTCGATGATCCTGTATATGTGTGCATGAGTGCGTGCGTGCGTGCATGTGTGTATAACATTCGTCCTGAGGTAAAAATATGTAACTGTCAAGACAGACAAACACTGACCGCTTGTGAGCAATTTCTGTTTCTTTGTAAAACCATCTACTGGTCATCAGTAATACTTATAACATTATCCATCTCTGCGACTGCGTTTATATAAATTTTATCGAATATCTAAAGAGGGCTCAATCGTGAAACCGAAACATGTAATATGTATTTATTTTTTATATTAATTATTTGCAGATCATTATATTTTTATCGTAATTTTCACGTTTTATAATTTTTTAAATTTTTATGTGCCCTGTATATTCTTTATATTGTTTTCTAAATTAATAATATAAATTAACAATTCATGATGAGATCTGAAATGCAATAATTGAAAATTAACAAGACGAAGAGTTTCAAGTGATAAAAAGACTTAATAGCAACTCATATTACGTCGAGAGATAACGATGGTGTCGTCAGCACCGGTTGTCATTATAATATTGATTTTAGACTTGATTTCACGAGGGTAAAAATCTTCTGTCACCTTTTTTACGTAACATTCCTAAGTAGGAAGTGGTGAAAAGCCCACGCGGGAGGTTGTTGCCACTTAAATATATAAGGACCGAATAATTAGTCGTTCAAGTTAGTAAAGAATAATCCCAACACGATTCTGGTAAAACTTGTGTAGCAATAAATAAAACTTTGGATTTAACTGGTGACGACAAACAAATCAAACTATATGGCAATTGACAAATCTTGAACCAAACTGTCGGTTCACTCGAGTAAACCGAATCCGCCTGACTTGCGGAAGTAATTATTAAAGGTAAATTTATTTTACCTTTAATTATTTTAAATTATAGTTGATTGGTTGATTTGACTTTTAATTCTTATCAATAAAAATTAATCCATATCTTGATCCCAATCTGAACTTATTAATTTGTCGTTGACGAAGAGAGTAGCGACGGATCTGCGATGTTTAACTGTCGCTGACGAAGAGTGCGGTAATAGTCGAGACATCCTTTCGAATGATAAGTACTAGTTTGGGAATAGTTTTGAATGCCCCCCCCCCCAAAGGGGCTTAAAAGGACGATAAGTACAGATTAAAAGAATTAAATTTCTAATTAAAGTTTATTTTTAAACATAAACCAGAGCCTTCCAACTCGGACACGTCATGCGTTTTACGTTATGAAATCCTTCCTTCTTTCTCCGATTAGATTTCTGACTTACCAAATTAATTATTACATATTTACAATATAGTATATTTACAATACCAAATTAATTATTCAAACGATAAAATAATTAAAAGAGGTGATCCTCGATACTTAAAATATAAAATTCGGTATTTGTTTGGCTAAACCGCGCAACCTTGTTCAATCCCGAGTACAGTACTTAAATGTATTGACCCAAAAACGGACATTAACTAAATTAAAATTACGGTTTGTGAAATAGTCAATTAAATAAAGACTTTTGAACGTCAGATAATTAAATGACTTTAAATTTAAAAAATCCGGCACGAATTTTTGCATTCATTCAATGTATTTACTACATATTAATATACGTATACTCTATTATTTAATTATATTCCAGAATTTTATCAACGACGCAGAGAATTTATTAGCCTCTGCCAAGACACCGGAAGGATCCGGGACTTCGTTTACTGGCGCCACCCCTGGTGTAATCGGAGCTCAAGAAGTCTATAAGTAAGTTTTTGTCGCACATACGCGCGCGCGCGTGCATACACACTCACAAGTTTAAAGAACTACCGAATAAACTTTTGACGCAAGTGTGCTAAAAAACACTTTACTGTTCCAGAGACCCGAGACAAAAGCGACTGGCGGAAAAGCAAAAACAGCAGCAAAACTCGCAGATTGGCGCGGTGCCGGAAAAACTCAGCTTTAAGGAGAAAATGAAAATGTTCGCGATGGAAACTGGCGAGGATGGCACACCGCGAGATAAAGTGAAGATCTCGCGCGCTCAGCGTGAAATTGATAACATCAGCAGTCCACTTAATTCCAATAATAACAATAATAACAATAACACCACCATTAGCGGCAATAACACTAATAACAATAGGACCTAAAAAATGTTGTATTTTTATTTTCAGGCTTTAGCAATTAAGATAGATGAAATATTTTTTGAAATATCTAGGGCGATTGGACGAAAGTCACGATTGTAAACTGCATAACCGCGGCACGATATATGTGAAAAGATAATCTTTTTAAATTTTATATAATTTGGCCAAAAGATAACGTTGATCACGCTGCTAACATGATAACAAAGCTTACATTCATATTTTTTCTATTCGCTATATTATACGTAATGATTAAGATTACTGAATTTCTGCCTGATATTTTCCCGAACGTCCTAGATACTTTGTGGTGCATTTTCTGTAGAATGAAGAAACATACGGAGAAATATACATACTGCTTACAGTTGTAGTTTCGCAAGCGATACATTATAATTAATTTTATTACTAATGATACCACACAGGGCTTACTTTGCCTCGTAGAATGAATTCGATTAGCCGGCAGCGATTCTCCACACAACGTTTAAGTACAAACGAAATTTTGTATAGCTCTTTGACCAAAAATGTTGTGTGTTCTGTGAAGAAAAGGACCAATAATGCAACATAATGTTGCGAATGTATTTTAGTCGCAATAAGAAAAGAACTGTCTAATCATTTTCGTACGTGACGCGTTGAATATTCCTGCATACTTCCGGACCAACATAATTTTATTATAAAATAACTGATATAATTTGTTGATACTAGTATGGCATAGGATAACTCTCGCGAGTACTAAATAAGCTTCTGAGAGACACGGATTATTTCGCGAGGGTAGCTTGCGAATGTATATAAAGAGGAGATGGACAGATGGCCGGGCAACATGATTATTGTATGTGTTAGTTTTATATATTTATCTCTCGGCAGCGAAAGATTCTGATATATATTTAAATTGTATCACTGTATCTGATTTACACTTACGCCATTATGCACTTAACGAAGTACGACAAAGTAACAAAGATAGATAGAAAATAGAACAAAAAATAGAAAAAAAGAAGAGAAAACCGTGTTCGCATGAACGGGAACATATGCGCGTGTGTATGTGCGAATAAATGACAAAAATGAAGAATGCAAATATAACGAAAGATTTATATTTATATATGATGCGTCTCTCTCTCTCTCTCTCTCTCTCTCTCTCTCTCTCTCACGTATAGACGGCTTTAGTTTAACTTTCCTATATTTTGCATGGAATTCGAATTTTGCAAAGAGTTCTATTTCTCGTAGTACTCGAACAGCAGCCTCTATCATACTGTAAAACTCAAACAAAAGCTCTTAGGATACAAACGAAGGCTCTACTTGTATAGAGCGTAGAATAAACACGTTATACGATACGTATAATGCAACCACGATGAAAGATTCCTATCGAAATGTCTCCATTTATTTCATTGACGATTTTTAAGGAAAATAGAATCTTATGCAATTTATCAATGTTTCATTGATAAGAAACTAAATTTAGTTTTTGCTAACTTTTTAAGTATGATTAAGAATTTTTTTTGTTTAATTAGTAATACTTAGAAAGAATTGTCTATTAAGTTCGATCTTATAAGAGCTACTAATATAGAGTGAGCCATTCAAGATGTTTATTGTAAATATATAATATTCATCACTTATATATGTATACATATTTTTTATGGAACTAATTAGCATTGGTTTTTATCTATTAATGGATTAATTGCTACTTTGAGATGTATTTCGGATTCACATAGAGATAAAATAAATCATGGACAACTTACAAGATTTATGCTGTAATTATCAATATGTGTGTGTGTGTGTTTATTGCACATATGAAAGTGATATTGTAATATAAATCTTCGCATATTGCCGCAAAATTTAATATTTATTTTACATTAAATATGAAGAATTCCAACGAGCATCAAGAAACAAAATTCTTACAAAAATATTTCAATAAATTTTTATCATTCCGCGATTCGTCAAATAACGTATATTATTTCGCAATTTCTGCGATCAATCAAATTATTTTATAAATTTAAGAAATATCGACTCTTTTTTAGGAACAAATCAATTTCAAGTCGCAAGGTGTTACATGTAATCAGTCGAGAATTGACATCTTAAATGTCTCATTCTATATAAATCTGTTAATCGCCACAACGCTAAGTAATAATTAAATCGTTATCATTAAGATGCGAAATTTACACAAAATGTTTCTTTTAAAACTTTTAAGTTTAATTGACCCTTTTGCATCTCGCGCGAGTATTCGTGGATGGTAAAGCAGTATTTCAGAAAAGAACTTAAGAGACTAACATGAAGAACAAAGTGTAGCAATATTAGGATGTAAGGAACAATTTATCTAATAACTATACAAAACGGTCATGAAGGATGCTCGTTAATCGATCTTTCGTGAGATAGAAATCATCACGCAAGTTAGACCAATTGCGGCACTCGAAAGTATTTGACATTCCTCTTGATGTTTTGTTAAATCTGTTAAAATTATGCAACATTCCTCATCGTCCAATCTATCTTTTACGACAAAGTAAAATTATTGGCTGTCATTATGTTTCGACAGTATTCCTGGAAACGTCGAGTGAGTGAGTGCGTGTGTGTGAAGTATTATTTATGAAAACGATTTGCTTCTGATATTTTTCTTTTCAAAACTCGCAAATATTATAAGAGCTTATCTTCCAATAAAATAGCGAGAGAAAGAGAGAGGGGGGGGGGGGGAATGAGAGCATGTGCACAGAATGCAATACTATCATCGCATAACTAACAGTATGATATTAATCCAGGTCAATACTAATTTTACATCCAAGAAAAATTATATATATTTCTATTCAAAATTTTTTATATTTTATTAGTTATGCAATCTCCAAAAATGGACTTTGGTGGTACAGGATAAGAGACTTGTAGTGTCTCTTTTTGAACATGGCCGGAGCCACTACCGCGTCTCCTGATTTTTCATGTACATACATTCTCGAATTTGTCTGTTCAGCTCTACTTGCGAAACAACGAATTACACTGCGATACGGAATATCTATATGGATGGTTGACAATTTCTTAAAGAAAAAAAAAACAATGACCATAATATTTTTACATTAAACTTTTTGCGTAAATAAAGCATTTCATTTTCTTTAGAGAAGAACTCTGCAATTAATCTCTAACGACTTCAATACATCGCTTTCCTTAGAGAAAATCGTAGAGGAAATACATTTTCGTCTTATTTATCTGTTTCTTTTTTATTTACATTTTTTTCATTTGTATGCTTCGATCTCTAATATTCTGTGTGACCTTTATCATTCCTCCACTTAGGATAGTGATAATATTGAGCAGCTTATTACACACTATCGTGCGACTTTTACTCGTGCTCACAACGAATTTCCACTTTCGAGCCGTTGTACAGGGCGTTGTATCATACAGGTCAGTATGATGGGTTGCCCATTCGTGCAGGCGCGCGAGATCGTTCACAATTGCGTAAACTTCGGCGG